TTGCTATATATTTATCCACCCTTTCCACACTTCATTTTAAACTCAAAACGTGATCCTTGGTGATTCATGAAACTCTAAGACAATAGCTACCAGCACTTCGATAGTCAAGAAAACAAAGCAAATTGAACACGTCATCACTTTTTTCTGAAGATTTTATTACTAAAGGAGTTGTTGACAAAAAACTCACCCAATATATATATATATATATATATATATATATATATACACACACACACAGTTGAAGTCAGAATTTTTAGCCCCCCCTGAATTATTAGACTCCCAGTTTATTTTTTCCTCAATTTCTGTTTAACAAATAGATGATTTTTTTCAACACATTTCTAAACAAAATAGTTTTAATAACTAATAACTGATTTATTTATTTTATCTTTTTCATGATGATAGTAAATAATATTTGACTAGATAATTTTCAAGACACTTTTATACAGCTTAAAGTGACATTTAAAGGCTTAACTAGGTTAATTAGGTTAACTAGGCAGGTCAGAGTAATTAGGCAGATTATTGTATAAGGATGGTTTGTTCTGTAGACAGTCGGAAAAAAAATTGCTTAAAGGGGCTAATAATTTTGTCCTTAAAATGGTGTTTAAAAAATTAAAAACTGCTTTTATTCTAGCCAAAATAAAACAAATAAGACTTTCTCCAGAAGAAAAAAATATTATCAGACATACTGTGAAATTTTCCTTGCTCTGTTAAACATAATTTGGGAAATATTTAAAAAAGAAAAAAAAATTAAAGGGGGCTAATAATTCTGACTTATACTGCGTATGTATGTGTGTGTGTATATATATATATATATATATATATATATATATATATATATATAAATTGAACGAAACGACAAGGAAATAATGCTGAATCACTGAAATGTAATACTTATATACTCTTTTCCCTTGGTAATGACATCTTCAAGACACCTCTTGTATGGCCGATAAAGTCACATGCATTCCTCAGGTTTGATGTTTTTCCCTCAGAGTTCAACAGAGTCTACAAATCTTAACAGTTCTCTGTGTCTCCTTTGATCTGGATCTTATTCTCTATTGGATTCAGGTCAGGTGATTGACTGGGTCATTCTAATAGCTTTATTTTCTTTTTCTGAAACCAGTTGAGAGTTTGCTTGCCTATGTTTAAGATCATTGTCCTGCTGATATGGCCCCCTTGGTTTCATTCTTCATTTTGATCATGTGTTGGGACTGAAGCAGCTAATATTCATTTACAATGACAAAAGGCAGAGTTGTTGAATAACTACAGAGAGATTTCAACTGCTGTCTGGGCTTTTCATGCCTTTTTACACCTTCCCTTTTTCATGTGCTCAATATTTTCCCCATGTCATTTAATTTTATTAAACACAACTTCATTTCTAAACGAATTGTTTTTAATTTCTTTGTATGGATTTGGATGGATTGCTTTAGTTGTGATAACATGAACATTTAAAGTCAACAGCACCTTCAAAAATGATGACTTGTTACATACTTATTTTACCCGCTTTATAACGGTGAAACAAAACTAGCTTCAGATGATCGATCAAGATATAATGAGGTGAAATGTTCAGTTTGTTAAAATTAATTATTTTTACATTAACATTATTGTCTTTAATCTGCAGCATTGGCAAACAGCCATGAGCACAAGCTTCATGGCGCATAATGACACAAACATGATTTGACAGCGGATATATAATGTATATTACCAAACATTTTTCTAGTTATTCAAATTATATCTAGAAGAAATGGGCTGAATTATTGTCCCAAGGCTTTGCAGTCAATAAATTTGAGTCACTGCTTTATCGTGACATTAACACACATTTCCCCCGAAAACCAGAACAGAAAATCCCAGCAGAATCTGTTGAACAAAACTCACATTGAGTTTACAGTGACGTAAAGGTTTTAATAGCGACTTGAAGCCTTTCACTGAGCTCAACAGGAATATTGCTTCAAATATAACCTTTTATAGAAAATTGTTTTGGGCAGACAAGCCGGCGGTGCCTGGTTTTAGCATGTATGCACTTTGCTGATGCACATCTAGATCAGCACTCATAAACTTTCTCTGGCTTGTTGGCAGCAGTGAAGCACAACTTATGCTGGAAAATGTTAGGGTTACCTTTAAGTACACTCTGGTGATTTGTGAAGTCTTATTCTTCTAGTCTCTATTAATCAAGCTGTGTGCTGAAAGCAAAAATATGTGTGGCAATGAAAAAAGCCAGTGCATCTGTTCTACAAAATCATGTAAGGTAACATAAATACAATACGCAGGCTACATTTTCATGACTAAAAACAAAAAAAATCTTTTTTTTTTTTTTATTTTCCACATTGTTAAAAATGATTTAGGATCCACCGTGCCAGGTAAGTAGATGATGTATCATTGTAAAAATAACCCTGCATGCCTGTGCACATGCGCTTCTGTAGTCCAAGGGTTCCCAAACTTCAGCCTGTGACCCCCAAAGTAACAATGCCAGTGACTCGTGACCCCCAATATCCTCTGAGGTGGTTATAAATATACAAACCTTCCAAATGCAAAATGGCTCAAACACACTAATATAGGTCAAAGTGTTTTCTTTGTTTAATTTTGGAGAACGCCACTTAGAGGTTATCCTCCATGTTCAGTTGTGGCCTGTATTTAACTTTAATGTATGCGAGTGCTGCAAGGGTCAGAAAGTTTAACCTGGTGCCATAAAATCAATCTTCTGCTGCATCTGACCCTATTAGGTCTTTAATCTAATATAACAAGGCCCCAGGGCTCGCAATCCAGTGGAAAAAAAAAAAGTTTAATATGGGGAAAATATGCTTTTTATAATAGTTGCATAAAATGATTTAGATTTTTGGAAATCACCAAGCGAACCCTTAATTATCCTGCAACCCCCCGAAGGGGCCCGACCCACAGATTGAGATCTGCTGTAGTCCACTATTGTTTTGTTTGTCAAATACTTGCATATATCTGTAATGTAAACAATAGATTTGTTCAGGTTTTTGTATTTCTTATTTGTACATTTTAAAAAGTCAACAATGCAAATGATGCACACAAACCATCAGGATGTACAGTTGAAGTCAGAGTTATTAGCCCCCACCCCATTTTTTTATTTTTATTGATAAACCTCAAAAAAGCAAACTGAAATTAAATGTTTCAGGTTAATGTTGTAAATGTATGAAACTTTTAAAAATGTAACGACTGTCAAGTGATAGATGGCGAGCAAATCAAGAAAAAAACTTGTGTAATTCTGTTATAAATAAGATATAAATTTCTGTAGTGTTTATTATAATATATATATATAAATATAGAAATATATATATAAATATATAAATATATATATATATAAATATATATATATATATATATATATATATATATATATATATATATATATATATATATATATATATATATATATATATATATATATATATATATATAAACATATATAAACACTATAGTAGTTAATATTGGGTGCCTTCTGCTACTGCTTCTGCTACTATACCTGCCTTCAGCTACTGAACCCCCGCTGCTGGAATCAGTAGAAATGATCAGATATGCTCCAACATTAGGCACATTCAAATCAAGACAGAAAACCCATCTGTTTAGCTGTGCCTTTACTGAATGAGCACTGTGCTACGTCCAACAGATCGCACTATTGTGTCTTTCTGTTCTTTTTTATTCTTTTATAACCCGTTTTGACACATTTTAATCTGTTTTTAATCACTGTTATTATTTATTTTAATTTATTATAATTGTCTCTTTTATTGTTGTTCATGTAAAGCACTTTGAAATGCCACTGTGAATGAAAAGCGCTATATAAATAAACTTGCCTTGCAAGTTAAGAAAATTACTCATGGCAACTTTCTTTACCTTCGGCCCACTAGCCTCTATCAAGTTTGGTTTTTGGCCCTTCATAAGAAGAAGTTTGGGCACCCCTGGTATAATGCATGAAGCCATAAAAAGACTGTACTACAACATGAAAGTATATATCTTAATAATTAAAAAAGAAATACTAATTTGAATGAGCCTAAAACTGGATTTTTTTTCTTTTTCTTATGCACATTTAAACAACGCAGACTGAAAAGATCAAGTGCTATTTTGGCCTTTTCGCCTGGATTTTGCCTAACCAAATTCAAAAGCTTCCCAAATCCACATGCAGGGGTGTAAATGCAAACGTCTGGTATCGTTTTGAAGAAAACATTTAGAATTTTCATAAAACATTGTTGAAAGTGATTAAAATAATTGTATATTTTGTGTGTGCTATAATAAACCCCTCCGAAAACATTCATAAACTAAAATTTGCAAGTACCTTTCAGGTTCTGTGTGGTCTAGGTTGCTGTAATTATTTTGTTGGTTCCTGCACATGTCAGCCATCATAGGAAAAAAACCCCCGTCTCAATCTAATAATCTATGCAATAGTTACTTTACTCCAACTGATGAGAGAGCGGAACCACTTATGGGGGTTTTGGGCCAATACGAACCATTAAAATTTAAATAATGCGGAAGTAAATTATGTCACAGGTTAACTGTAATTAAAAGAAATGAAGCAGGGTTCAAACACATTTTCACTACTAAATCTCCAAGACTTTTCCACGATTTTTCCAAGACTTTTAAGTAAATTTTCATGACCTAATTTTTCATGCATTGTCTACATAAGCTTGGTAAAAACAATACATGTTAAACATTTATTACAGCATATTGTAAAACACACAACAATCTATTTAGTTTCAATTTATATCTATGTAAAATTGATTTAGATAATGTTCACAGTGAACTAATAATGTGAGAGTATGTGATTGGCAAAGGACAAAAAAGAAGACAACGAACCAATGTTCAAGTATACAGATATCTGTTTTCCATGACTTTTCCAGCTTTTCCATGACCGTGTGAACCCTGGTAGATTGTGTTGTGAACTTGAAATTGAGCCAAGAAATGGACACCCGGTCCTATGTATGATTCTTTCGTATCATGCAACATGCAAAATTCACTAGTTGGAAAAATGATCCAATAACCAGCACTAAAAGTAAACCGAGTCTTTACATTTATTACATGAACAAGGCAGCAGCCTCCCACACACTTCAGCACAAATGTTGGCCAAGGCAATTACCACTGACATTTAGCTGTAACGAAGCTGGGGAAAGCAATATATGCGTAATGAGCTCCACGATTGATTTTACTGTACTGTACATGTAAATGGACACAGAAATAACTGGTTTAAAATGCTTCCACACACTCGAAAACACGTGCAAAGTTCTCACGTTGCTTTTATGCTTTTACTTGTCGCCGTGTTCATCATTACCAATTACCAGAAGACTACAGTGACGACACTCGCCTGAAACATTTTCAGGTCTAACTCAAGTGTTGTCTTGTATAAATGTACTTTTATTCAAGCGGACACAAATTCAACAAAGGTGGTCTTTCTTTGAGCTTTGGTCTCATGAGCATATGACAGGGAGAACGAATGGAAAACTTATTAAAGCTTTCCAAGTTTGGACTTGGGCAATGTAGTCATGTGTCTCTGCATGCCTAAGGGCAGAAGATGAATGTAAGGAAGTCTCAAAGAATAAAAGCTGTAAAATATTCTCTCAGCACTCAGTTTCACCAGCTGGCCTGGTAAATATTACAGCAAGACTCCGTATAATTAGGGCAGCATAACAAAGTGGCATAAGAGTGGACGTGAAATCACCCCCCAAAAAAAAACCCTTCTCTGTAAAGATCCTGTCCCCGGAGCCGTGAAGTGTAACAAATGAGCCCAAAGTTTGAGACGTTGTGCATCACTATATGGTAATCAGGATTTCATGACGTTTAATAAAACTTAGCTCTTCACCGCTCGGTTTCTTTCCAGCACTGCTCTCGGTGTGAATTCCAGTTTGTCCTTCAGGCTGAGGACCTGTGTGCTGTCCCGACCGTTCAGTTCCTCTAATTTACGATCCTCCCGTAGTTCTGCAATGCCCCTTTCCTCCCCTGGAGTATTAGGAGTCCCTCTGATAAACCACTCTAGATGGTAGCCGACAGCTCCCACCACAAAGGCCACCGGGAAGGTCACGTAGGGTGCATAAGTGCGCATGGCAGTCCAGAAGATCGGCCACATGGTTGCAGGCTCAGAAATGCACCTGAAAACAAAAATCAGACCAAGTTCTGGAAGGTTATTTACGTTGGGGAAAGGTGCTTTAGTAAGTAATGCATTACAATATTGAGCTACTCCTCAAAAAAGTAACTAGTTGCTTTACTTAGTTACTTTTAGTGGTAAGTAAAGCCTGGTTTATACTTCTGCGTCAAGTGATCGGCATGATCCGTTGCGCATGCAATGTGCATAGCCTTGCATTTATGGTTCAGGATTGGTAGAGCTACGCATCGATGAATTTGCTCTTCAGTGTTTGAACTCTCAGTAATGATTTTAAATCACACTGAACTGAGCTAAACTGAACTTAAACACTAAAAACTGAACTACACTGTTCCAGTTACTATGACCATTTATGTGAAGCTGCTTTGACACAATCTACATAGTAAAAGCGCTATACAAATAAAGCGGAATTGAATTGAATTTATACTTCTGCAATATGTTTCTGTTGCTCTGCAATAACACTTCCGGAACGCTAGCTGCCCACATGGAAATAACCTATATAAACATGTATGTTTTAATATAGGTTTTGAAATAGGGTTCTGATATTTTCCTATATCATATGTACATGTATATGGGTACATATATATTCACCTATATGTTAGTTAAATTATTCAGAAATTAAATAAATTACAGCTGCTTGACAACAAGATTTAAAATCCATTTTTAATTGTAATTTACTTAATCAAATAATACAAGAAATAAATGTAGTATGAGAACAAAAACAAGAGAATTAACAACAATAAGGGAAAGAAGGAAAAAAAGACAAACCATGTGTTATATATCTTTTTTTTCCACTATCTTCATATAAGAAAGAATTGACCTTGTAAATGTTTTAGGAAAACGTGTAGACATCACGTTCCATCTTTTCCATCTGCCCTCACTTACTTGCCATAGTTAAAATCCATAACATGCCAATTACAAGTGATACCAAATTTAAGTGGCACATCCGTACGTTTTTTTTTTTTGCACTTTTTAAAGTTATTTCTTAGTTATTGCCTTGATAATAGAAAATATGAACTAGTCAAGGCATCATGTATGACAGTTGCCAAAGTGAGATATGAGCTATACAGGAGACATATCATGTATGAACATAAAGGGCTTATTTGTGGATATGAAGAAGCAATACAGGAGACCTATTTGGCCTGTATGTGCGCACACACACAAACATACACACACACATATATATATATATATATATATATATATATATATATATATATATGGCTGATTATATACAACATTTATATTGACATCTATTAAAAGTTTGCATTATTTTGATTAATTATGGGGGTGACATGGTGGCGCAGTGGGTATTCCTGTTGCTTCACAGCAAGGTCGTTAGATTGAGCCTCGGTTGGGTCAGTTGGCATTTCTGTGTGGAGTTTGCATGTTCTCTCCATGTTTGTGTGGGTCTCCTTCGGTTGCTCCTGTTTCCCCCACAGTCCAAAGACATACACTATAGGTGAATTGAATAAGTTAAAGTGGCAGTAGTCTATGTGTGTGAAGCTGAATAAGTTCATTCTGCTGTTGCGACCCCTTATTAATGAAGGGATTAAGCCGAAAAAAAAAAATAAATGAATGGATTAATTATGGAGTGATGTAATGAGATTAACTCTAATATTAGGAAAATGCTAACATGTTCATTCATTAATTTTCTTGTCGACTTAGTCCCTTTAATAATCCAGGGTCGCCACAGCGGAATGAACCTCCAACTTCTAAAATCCAGCACATTTTTACGCAACCTTCCAGCCGCAACCCATCTCTGGGAAACATCAACACACTCATTCATACACACACTCATACACTATGGACAATTTAGCCTACTCAATTCACCTGTACAGCATGTCTTTGGACTGTGGGGGAAACCGGAGCACCCGGAGGAAACCCACGCGAACGCAGGGAGAACATGCAAACTCCACACAGAAACGCCAACTGAGCCGAGCCGAGCCAAGGATCGAACCAGCGACCTTCTTGCTGTGAAGTGACAGCACTACCTACTGCGCCACTGCGTCGCCATGTTTTCAAAACTAACTAAATATTTAATATTTTTACATAATAACTTACTTGCAAATCGGTGCAGACCTAGAGAATAAATGCCTCGTTTACGTATTTAAGAACATTTTAAAATCACTGGCATACAAATAAATAACGTTTGCAATACTTGATGTAATCAAAGAACTGGGGGGATGTCTGGTGATTCAACTAACGTTAACGTGATTATCCCTCGTCACGTTCTGTGTGCATTTTACATTAATAAACCTTCACAAGTTTTATGAGAAGCTAAGTAAACAACACTGTCATAATGGTTTTATAGAGCAAAATGAATTAAATGACATTAGAAGTGATTGAGTAACAACTTTGTCTCTAAAGAATCACGTAACCGGCACAAGGGTACTGGTGTCAAAACATGAGGCGCACGAATATACATGAACACGAAATATGTTCACTTAGAAATACTTCTAAAACTATACAGAATACCCTGCTGGCGATTTAGTGCGTAATATTTCACACATTTATCAAATCATTGGCGCGTGCGTTTATAAAATCCCATGACTGTACAGTACGTACCTCTATCTCTAGGTGCCTCCACTTCCTGCCTCTGCGTCACAGTAAGTAACGATGTGATTGGCTATTTCTGCATGTCAGAATGACGTTTTTAAGTGTCGTTCGTTCAGGGACACACACATGAGAAAAAGAAGGTTTCATACAGGATGTCCTGTTAAAACAATACTGACACCTTGTGACCAAAGTTGTAACATACCGAGCAATTTCATGAACTTAATTTGAATAACCATTACAAAAATGATGATAACATTATTATTATAATTATTTAAACTATTATTATTGCTATTATTTTTAAATGGTAGTAGTAGTAGTAATACTAGTATTATTCCTAGTGTTGTATATTAATTGTAAACAAAGTGTCAAGGGAAATAAATAAAGGTATGGCTGGATTAAAGAGAGCATAAACATACAAAATGAATAAAGCAATTGGTTTTGGGACAAAAAAAAAACTAAACAAGTTGGTATAATAATAATAATAACAATGACAACGACAACAACAATCCTACCACTATTACTAACACTAACAATAATGATAATTATAAATGTTAAGTTATTTATATACACTCACTAGACAGTACTAATTTGAGTACTAGTAACGTTACTAGTACCAGGTTGGACCCCATTTTGCCTTCAGAATTGCTTTAATCATTTGTGCATAGATTCAACAAGAAACTGGAAAGATTTTATGTACATGATAACATCACACAGTTGCCGCAGATTTGTCGGCTGCACATCCATGATGCGAATCACCCATTCCACCACATCCTAAAGATGCTCTATTGGATTGAGCCTGGTGACTGTGTAGGCCATCTGAGTACAGTGAATTCTTTATCATGTTTAAAACCCAGACTGAGATGATTTACGCTTTATAACATGGCGTGTTATCCTGCTTGAAGTGGCCATCAAAAGATGGGCATACTTAATAATACTCATGTAGGCCGTGGCGTTGACACACTCAATTGGTACTAAGGGGCTCTAAGTGTGAACCGTTGATACAAGGCAGGATGGATCCATGCTTTCATGTTTTTGACACCAAATTCAGACCCTACCATCCGAATGTTGCAGCAGAAATTGAGACTCATCAGACCAGGTGTTTTTCCAATCTTTTATTGTCCAATTTTCTTGAGCCTGTGCAAACTGTACCCTCAGTTTCCTGTTCTTAACATGTTCTTCTGCTGCTGTAGCCCATCCGCCTCATGGTTGGACATGTTGTGCTTTCAGAGATGCTCTTCTGCAGACCTCAGTTTTAATGAGTGGTTATTTTGAGTTACTGTTGCCTTTCTATCAGTCTGGTCCCAGTAGATCGAGTTTCTGAAAAACTCAGACATGCTCGCCTGGCACCAACAACCATGCCACTTTCAAAGTCACTTAAACCACCTTTCTTCTTCATTCTGATGCTCGGTTTGAACTGCAGAACATCGTCTTGACCATGTCTACATCCCTAAATGCATTGAGTTGCTGCCATGTGATTGGCTGATTAGAAATTTGAGTTAACGAGCAGTTAAACAGGTGTACCTAATAAAGTGGCCAGTGAGTATGAATACTAGAATTCAATATCAGCACACACCAATTTAAAACATATACTTTTTTATTTCAAAAATAAACAAAAATTAAAAAATACAACAAAAAATAAAAACCTCACGAATAAACAAATACAAGAAATTAATTCATTTTATTTTATTTTAATTAGAAGCAAAAACATTAAGACAAAACAAAATCAATATATGGAAGGGGGACGAGAATATACATAAATAAGAAGCTTTGGAAAGGTAAAGCTAAGCAAAGCTGCCTTTCAAGCATTAATATTAATTTTTATGATTTTGCATAATATTTAAAAAGTACAGAAATATTCATTATAACAAAAAGAAAATTAAAATTTTCATACTTTCAAGACAAACTCTGATTAATTAGTAAACAGTGCTTGCTGCATAGCTAATGGCATTTTATTCACATGCACCACTGACATTTTTGGCAATAGTTTAGTCTTGAATTACTGTATTAGATCTGCCTTAAGCAGATGATAACAGTCATCTCTTGCAATAAGTTCTAGTTACATGCTAAGCTAATTGGCAAAGTTATATGAACACAGTTTTTAGCTCAGAAAGGCACTGCTGAGGGTATCAAGTGTGGTGCCACTCATTCATTCATTCATTCATTCATTCATTCAGGTTCAAGCGTCTGGATTGTTTTACATGAGTCTGGTAATGGCACTGGATAGAAAGTCTTCATAACTCATCCTCACGTTGCCGGTCATGCCGGTGTCTTTCTCTCTGAAGGCCTGGGTCATGCTCTGGAGCTGCGTACACACCTGAATGAAGCGGTCCAGCTGGAGAACGCCGGTCCCACCGCGCACAGAGTAACGGTTCACCAGCTCCTGAATGAACTGAGGACTCAGATTGTAGCCCATCTGAGATAATGCTGCAAAAAACACAGTGGGGAACAGAATCAGTGTGACATGGATTAGTTGACTGCGTGAAATTGATCAATAATAATGTATACAGACATTATAATTCAGAAAACCTGATTCAATTTTCAAATGTTTTCTATTTCAGTAGTCTGTTTTTAAATTATATCTATTTATGTCAATTTAAAGATGAATTTACAGCCATTATTACTTTACTCTTGAGTGTCAGAAAACAGTTTAATATGCTGATTTGCTCCTCATTAAACATATAATTATTATTATTTCTGCAATAAGCTTGCGGAAATGTTTTTCAGGGGCTAAACAAAAATTCAAACATGATTTACATCTTTTTTTTTTCAAGCTTGTATTAATCATTTTTTTTCTGTTCAACTGTATTTTTTCTTTTCCTGCTATGGGTGTCCATGGCTAACTTTTCAAACATTCTTCAAAATATCTTCTCCTGTGTTAAAAAACAAACTAAAACAAATAAACTCTTTGGAACCACTTGAGGGTAAGTAAATGGAGTATATTTCAATTTCCGAGTGAACTATCCCTTTGATGTTTTTCAATTGTGATGCCTGATTTCGAGCCTGGTTTCTCTCGAGTTTTTTCCCCTTCACTTTCGTCAATTGGTGAAGTTTTTTCCTTGCCACAGTTGCCATTGGCTTGTTTGTTTGGGACTTGTGGAACTGCACATCAATGGATTTGTTCTTCAGTGTTTGGGCTTTCAACAGTGAAAATTAAACCACCCTGAACTGAACTTCAACTCTGAAAACTGGACTGACGAAGTTTCAATTTACTAGAATCTTCTGAGTGAAGTTGCTTTGACACAAAATGCAAAGTGCAACATAAAAAAAGATGAATTGAAGCTGTTTTTTTCAGATTGAAAAACAAAAACTATATATTGTAAAATATATACACTCACCGGCCACTTTATTAGGTACACCTGTCCAACTGCTCATTAACTCAAATTTCTAATCAGACAACAACAATGCAGCAACCTAATGCATTTAGGCATGTAGACATGGTCAAGATGATCTGCTGCAGTTCAAACTGAGCATCAGAATTGAGAAGAAAGATGATTTAAATGACTGAACGTGGCATGGTTGTTGGTGCCAGAAGGGCTGGTCTGAGTATTTCAGAAACTGCTGATCTACTGGGATTTTCATGCACAATTCTCTAGGGTTCACAGAGAATGGTCCAAAAAAAGAGAAAATATGAAGTGAGCAGCAGTTCTGTGGGCGCAAATGCCTTGTTGATGTCAGAGGGGTATGGCCAGACTGGTTTGAGCTTATAAAAAGACAACAGTAACTCAAATAAGCAATCGTTACAACTGAGGTATGCAGAAGAGCATCTACATGTCCAACCTTGAAGTGGATTGGCTACAGCAGCAGAAGACCACACCGAGTGTGGCCACTCCTGTCAGCTAAGAACAGGAAACGGAAGCAATTTGCACAGGCTCACCAAAATTGGACAATAGAAGACTAGAAAAACATTGTCTGGTCTGATAAGTCTCAATTTCTGCTGTGACATTCGGATGGTAGGGTCAAAATTTGGCATCAACAACATGAAAGCTTGGATTCATCCTGCCTTGTATCAACGGTTCAGGCTGGAGGTAGTGGTGTAATGCTGTGGGGGATATTTTCTTGGCACACTGTGAGCTCATTAGTACCAATTAAGCATTGTGCCACAGCCTACCCGAGTGTTGCTGACCATGTCCATCCAATGTACCCATCTTCTGACGGCTATTTCCAACAGGATAACGTGCCATGTCAAAAAGCGCGAATCATCTCAGACTGGTTTCTTGAACATGAGTTCACTGTACTCAAATGGCCTCCACAGTCACCAGAGCTCAATCCAATAGAGCACTTTTAGGATGTGGTGGAATGGAAGATTCGCATCATGGATGTGCAGCCGACAAATCTGCAGCAACTGTGATGCTATCTTGTCAATATGGACCAAAATCTATGAGGAATATTTCCAGCACCTTGTTGAATCTATGCCACGAAGGATTAAGGCAGTTCTGAAGGCAAAAGGGGCTTCAACCTGATACTAGTAAGGCGTACCTAATAAAGTGACCAGTGAGTGTAAATATAAACTAAATATAAAATAGTTAATCATTAAATTAAATGCATTCTTTCTTTTTCTTTCTTTCTTTTTTTACTCTCTTTCTTTATCTTTCTTTTAGATAGATAATTAATTTTATAAGATGATTAATTTTATTATATATCTATAAAATAAATTCCAGACTGAGAAAAATACATCTTAACACCAGATGCAAACAGGTTTGTGCTTCTTATTGAGAAATAAAGGACTTACCCCCCCCGCAAAAAAATACTAAATCTAAATGTGTTATTTTTCTCTACAGGTCCCACTCTCAGTTGTTTTTTTGCACAGTTTTCATCAACACTGTCACTCAGCAGTAATCGTCCATGCACTTTCAGGCCTATTCACATCTCTATAATGGCTTCAACTATCGTAGCAGATGAAACATTGCTCCAGCAGTTGTGAATAGCCTTGTTCATTCAAAATCAATGAGTATAAAAAAGGCACTGCAAGACAGCGTCTATGAGTTTTGTGGTTATTTTAAGAGCAATTTCTCATGACGTCTCAACAAATAAAATTGCACAGGATTAGATGGGAAAAAAGAACTTCACTGAAGAAAACACAAGCTTATAGCAACTGCCTCTTTCCTTTTCAACTTGTTTGTCATGCAACTGCTAAATCTTGAGCGTTTATGTGACCTAACCTTTCTATATTTACACATTTGTTGTTGTTTTTTTTTTTGCCAGGAAACTTGACTAATCAAGGATAATTGTAATTATGCTTTGTCTATTGAGAAATTCCTTAGAGCAGTAAACAAAAACACTGTAATCTTCAAATAGATATGTGAAATGCTATGTGAATATCTTTAAGGAAAACATATAGAAAACAGTTGATGAAAGCAGCAAAAAACTTGCTGTGTTTAGATTGAGGCTATGATTAATTCACTGACCAAGCCTTAATATTATAGCAAAGTCATCGACAGAATTCATCACAAGCAAAAATTGCTTGATTAAAAATGCACTGCATTTAAATAAAAACTTTTGGCGAATGGCTGGTAGGTTTAAAGGATATAATATAATACAATATAATATAATTATAATCTATAATAATGATAATTTGACAATTTGTAGTATACACTGTTAATTTAGATTATTTAGATATAGCAGAATTAAGATCAATATATTACAGTGTTCGGCATAAATGAGTACACCCCATTTAAAAATTTGTATCTATTTCTCTGTGAATATAGGTGATATATTTTGGTGCATTAGTTCAAAACTGATTTATAAAACAGATATATTTATTAAAACAATATCTTAGTCACCAAACATCTTTAGAAATAGAAAAATAATAAATGAATGGCACGGTGGCTCAGTGGTTGGCACTGTCGCCTCATAGCAAAAAGGTCGCTGGTTCGAGTCTTGGCTGGGTCACTTGGCACTTCTGTGTGGAGTTTGCATGTTCACCCCGTGTTTGTGTGGGTTTCCTCCGGGTGCTCCGGTTTTGGCGTTATTGTATGAGTGCATGAGTGAATGTGAGAGTGTATGGGTGTTTTCCAGTACTGGGTTGTGGCTGGAAGGGCATCCGCTGCATAAAACATATGCCAGAATAGTTGGCAGTTCATTCCTCTGTGGCAATCTATGACAAATAAGGGACTAAGTCGAAGGAAAACAAATGAATGTAGATAATACATTTAACTTAAGCAAAATATTTTTGTGCACACCCCACCCCCCAAAAGAAACAGAAAAACTACAAACTGTACAAAAATATTTTTCTCTTGCTTTTTTTGTTTTTAAGTTTTTATTTAAAATTTTTCACTAACATAAAAATTTGGATGTACTCATGTTTGGATTGTTCTCTCAAGTTATTTTCTTAGATTACCCTAAGATTTGACTTTAGTACTGACTAAACTAATGTATATGCACAAATTATAGGCCTGCACGATTAATCGTTTGTAAAACGAAATCACGATTTAAAAAGGTGCGATTTTCAAACTGTAAAAGCTGCAGTTATTTTGATTATTACTAATGGCGAGGAAGGTGAGCGCAAGTAGCCTAATTAAAATGCTCCAACTACTTAAAAAGCAGACAACTGTTACAAAAGAACCTATGACCCCCATTTCACTGCTACGGATGAAGAAAATAAAAGCTGTTCCTCTCTCAATATATAATAGTATTATTATTATATATACTTATAAATCATACATTTCAATTCAAAAGGTTTTGTGTTGTAAAGTTAAATCTAAAACTGTGTATGGAAAGCTTTGTCAGTGCACCGTGAATGTCAAAGATTCATGTGAAAAATGTAACAACCTAAATGTAAAGGTTTTAAAGGTTTTATACATACACACACACATATATATATATATATATATATATATATATATATATATATATATATCCTTTATTTAATTAATTCAAACTAGTGTAGTTATTATTTTTAAACAACATTATTGACTATTTATTAATCTGTCATGACAACTGACAACTTTACTAGATTATTATTTTTTTAATTAATTAAATAGAAGCATAGTGTAGCTAACTTCATGATTATGCTTAGTCTTTCTTTGGTACTATATTACCACCACATCAAACCAGCAGCTCTTTTTATGAAAATATAGTAAATCACATTAGAAACTGCAAATTTGATCAGGTAACAAATACATTATTATCAAGCATCATATTAAATATTTTTGAGGGGTCATACTCATATATGCGGATCATTATATTATACTATATTATGTTATATTATATTGTATCATATATAACATTACATTATATATCATATTATATCAAATATATTTATATTATACATCATATTATATTATATCATATATGATATTATATTATATAGTGTATTATATTGTACTATATCATTGTATATTGTATTATATTATATTATATTATATTATATTATATTATATTATATTATATTATATTATATTATATTATATCATGTTATATTATTACATTATATTATATTATATTATATTATATTAAAATTAATGCTTTTAAAATATTCCTTCTGCACATCAAGCCTGAATATATTTGATTAAAAATACAGAAGTTAAATTTGGCAAATAATTTTTTTTTGATTATAATTACTCTTGTGTTTTAAAGCTGCATTTTCTGCTAAATTACTTCTATAACGTTTAAAAACTTGATTTAAAATAAATTGAACCCTTTATCAAACAATGCTGAGCAGAAACCTTTGCCAGAGTCTCCACAAAAACATAAGCAGAGTTCACCCACCACTGTCAAGTATTTCAAGCCAGTGCATTTGGCTCCTGAACACAGAATAGCAAGGCGATGTTGGAATCTGTGATTACTCGCTGTAACTGTCGTCATAACAGTGTGAACATGTGTCCATAACAGCAAACGGTCATCTCTCCTGACCCCTTGACAGACTCACCCTGGTGCATCTCATTGGTGTTGATTGATCCGGATCGGTCACGGTCGAACTGCTGGAACGCTGCCCTCCACTGCTGCAAAAACGTCCACAATGCGGAGAAACCAAACACATCCACACGGCCCGATTTAGTCTTGTCAAACATATCTGGAAATGAAGACAAAGCACAGATTCCTACTTCAATTTCCTTTGGCGGGCGTCATCAGATGACTTCTATTTTTGCATTGTTTGCTTGACATTGCGGTGCTCTAAATTCAGTTATATGGGGATTTAAGCATCCACTCGATAATGTAACTGCTGTCAGGAGGTTTATGTTAACAATGGAGGCACTCACTGAGCATCATAATGCAGGTTTCGTCATTGAAAGAGGAGTTGTTGAAGTTCATGAGTGCCTGCTTCAGCTCTTTTGCATTAATGTAGCCACTCTGGTCTGAATCCACTGTTGAAAACCACTGGTAGGCTTCAGGGTTCACACCGGGTGGAACGTTACCTGCAATAGAGGGATAAAGAAAGACTATGTAAGTGAGTCTGAGTCATTTTTATTCATTCATTTAAGGTAAATCAAAAATCATTCATTCATTCATTTTCTTTTCAGCTTAGTCCCTTTAATAATCTGGGGTCGCCACAGTGGAATGAACCGCCAACTTATCCAGCACATGTTTTACGCAGCGGATGCCCTTCCTTGCAGTAAGGCGACAACACTACCTATTGCGCCCCATTCAAAACTTTTAAATTGAATTAATAAAACCAAAAAAGGAATACATTAGTAAGTCTGATTCATTTTTATTCATTAATTTAGGGCAAATTAGTTAGTTCACAAATTTTAAATTGAATTTATGAAACCAAAACAGGACTACATTAGTGAGTCTGACTCATTTTTATATATTAATTTAAATTAGTCCATTCAAAACTTTTAAATTGAATTAATGAAACCATTTTCTTTCATTTTAGAATATTAACATACTACTACTGATACTTTATTACTTCAAGAATCATTAAATGCGCCCCAAATGGCACACTATGCACTTACGCACTCAAAAGCATAGTATATGCAAGTAGTTTCGTCTCAAATGAAACACTAATGGCTTTTGCTAAGCGGAAATATAAACAGTTTTCCTGATGACGTTTGACAGTTGCCAAATTTGTGAAAAAAATGACCAAACTACCAAATAATACCTGCCATGAGTATAGCTGCATTCACCATCAGGATGTGGTATAATCACTCTTGTAGGAGAATCTAGATCTCTCAATCCAAAATATATAAGCTCCACCACTTTCACTACATAAGCAAAGCAGTGGTCTTTGAGTATTTCACACTTCATTTTAATGGTACATCATCTGTGAATTTAAAGTACACCTATTATTTTTAAAGTTTACAGTGTGAATGCACTACTTACACTATTATACTACAAAATGGTACAGAACTGCATTAGCATGCGATTTGGGATATACCTAATATTTTTTAGTTTATAGACAGTTTAACCTAAAGGGCAATTATTTTACCCCTTTTTTAAATATTTATAATAAGTCGGAGTTGGAGTTGGAATAAGTTAAGAAAGAAAGAAAGAAAGAAAGAAAGAAAGAAAGAAAGAAAGAAAGAAAGAAAGAAACAAAGAAAGAAAGAAAGAAAGAAAAAGAAAGAGTGGTTTGAAATGATAATTATTAATTTGATTAATATTCATTTATATTTTAATTGTTTGAATTTGAGGGGACTTTCAGGTGTTTTGAACTGAAGCACATTAGTGTACGACAGTGTTAGTTTAACATAGTACTATTTTAATATTTATTTGAATTAACTAGTCTGCATTTAAATTTAAATTTGAAAAAATATATTGTAGTCTTATATATATATATATATATATATATATATATATATATATATATATATATATATATATTCTTTTTATTTACATTTTGGTTGAATATGTCTATATAGTTAATTATTTTATATAGGTATTTTTAGTTTTAGTTATTAATTTAAATACTAAACTACTATATTTCAACAAACTAAACAAAAACAAATTATAAATGACAGACAGAACATTAGTTTGAAATTAAAAATAACCCTAGTGTATACAGCAGAAACTAAATTAGCTCATTTATACTCACATGACATCTCTTATGTATTGAATAGAGCTGTTTAAGATACAGCATATGCATAAATGTGCAAAAGAAATTGTTCATTACTTTGAAAAATGAGCAGAATGATGATGAGGACAAGCAGTCCTACAGGTCATGTTTGAGAAAAAAAAAAAAAAAACATTGGAAATGGGTTGAACATGAGCAAGCCTATGCTGTCAGTGATATGTCGTCTCGGTCCCAAGAGGGACAAGAATAAGTTGTGCAATTTGGTGAAGCGCAGACGGTCACTGTATCCCTCGGGAGGAATAAGCACTGTTCAGAGGACAGTCTTCGAATCTGACAGCCATTCCCACAGGACATTATAGAATACTTATGGACTTAAACGCAGGCAGAGACAACCGCACGAACCTTTTCTCTCGGAATTATTACCACACTCATCACTCTAATTCTCCCCTGGGCACGTTCTGTACCAGATCAGTACAAGATGCTTGTGCCATCCTGTGGTGTATCAGCATCAGTCATTTGTGAGGGGCATATGACACAGCTGCAGAGCAGGAGGATCAAGGACCTTGTCTGCAGCGCCTTCATAAATTCCGATCTTTCGTCTTTTATTCACAGCCCTCGGCCACTGCATGCCTGATGGAACAGCAGCGGCTCGCGGTGTCTTAGCTGCCAACCCTGACACTCAGACATCATCAGTCAAAGCAGCCTAGAGCTGCTGCCGACCACTCCTGAGACCACGCTGAAAAATTCACAAGCTGGAGCAACATCTATTACGCTGCATTTGCAGATGTATGAAGCTGTGGAAAACATTCGGTTAAAAGTGATAGATTGCAAACCACATTCCTAGTATATATTCCTATCAGATCCTATTTAGGAATGTTTATTGTATAATAAAAGGGATAGTTTACATATTAAATTGATGTCATCATTTGCACACTATTTATTTGTTCCAAACCAGTAAAAAAATAAAAATAAAATAAAAAAAAATTATATATATATACACATATATATATACACATATATATATATATATATATATATATATTTTTTTTTTTTTTTTTTTTTTTTTTCTTTCTTTCAAGTCAACACAAAAAAAGATATATTAAATAACGTTGACAACTAATAACCATTAATTCCCATAGTATTTGTTTTTCTAGTTACACTTTACAATAAGGCTGTATTAATTAATGTTAGTTGATGTATTTACTAACGCGAACAAAAAACAAACAATGCATTAATTACGATATTTAATCCCATTTTTAAGGTTAGTTAAAGGAAATAAAGTTAATGTAGTGTAATGAAATTTTTATTTAATGGCATGTCAGCAACAAAAGCTATTTTCATGGCAAGAAAATCTCAATAATTAATAAACAATAAAAACCAGCAAACACATAAATACATAAATTAAATACGATTTTTAGCGTTAATACATGATAAAAAGTCTAAAATTGATCCAGGTGTCACTTTGTTAAAAATGTCCTTAAGAAAGTTAATTTCATAAAAAAGCCTTATCATTAAAGTAGGACAGTGCAATAAAATGTGTTTTACAGTAAGGGGATTTGTGCAATTATTCATTGTTAGTTCATATTAACTCACAGTGCTTTCATGTTAACAAGCATGGATTTGGATGTAAATACACATTATACGTTAATAATGCATTAGGAAATGCTGAACTATGATTAATAAATGCTGCACAAGTACTCTTCATTATTAGTTTATGTTAGTAAGAACATTAACTAATGAAACCTTATTGTAAAGTGTGACCATTTTTCTCACTATGGAAGCCAATGGTTACATGTTTCAAACATTCTTCCATATATCTTGTTTTGTGCTAAAAAAAAAAGAAGACGAAAAAAAAAAACCTCAAAAGTGGTATGGAACAAATCAAGTAATGTGATTAAATGATGACAATTTTCATTTTTGGATAATCTATTCATTATTGCAAGTAAAATGTTGTATATTGTTTTAATAATGTATGTTGTAAAAATATTTTGTAGATAAATATATTGTATACTATATAAATATATTGTATAATTTAAAATAATGCATATTGTATTGTTTTTTGGAGTATGTTGTTGTATTTTGCATTGTCTGTATTTTAGAGCCAGCACCTAAGCTTTTCACTCATCATAGTACGTGTGTGGCTGATGATGTGACAATAAAAGTGATTTGATTTGAAATAGGAGTTAAATGTATTAATTAAAAGATTCTAAATTAAAATAATATAGATTACATTTCTAAAGGTTGTGGCTGTTAAAAGACACTTAAAAGCTTTTTTCCAGGTTTAAAACTACACTGTTTGTGTCTGTTACAATGGTCACTGTGTCAGATTATGCATGTTTGATTATTAAGATTATTGTCCCTTCATAGACAAGAAATTAGTCTAAAAAGTGTATTATTGGAGCACAAAACTATATTTTATTTTACCCCTTTGATTAACCTGTTTCATTTTCTCATTGCTTGAGTGATGACTCATGGCAGTTTCAGAAAAACTTGCATAGAAAACAGAGTGAGGTGGTATTTTGACTTAAAATAAAATGCTGTGTTGTGTAGACTTTGTTATAGCTTTGCTCAATGTTTTGTTATTCTACTGGCTATAAAGGACAAGAGCATAATTTTCTACTGATTTTGAGTACAAACGGTATGAATGAATACTCTTAAATATTCTTACAAATATAACAACCTTTTCACAAGTTCATATTCAGCTTTTTATTGGATTTTGCATTCTGTTACGTGATCATTTACTTTTCAAAGGCAGGTTAGCAAGATGAATATGTGTTTTTATTTATATCAATTCACTTTAAAAGTTCTGCTGAAAATATTGAGTTTTTACCTACAGATCTTACAATGCTTTTGTTTCAATCGTCTATACCGGGTAATGCTAAATACAGTAGTCTACATTAAAAGTGGGCCAAATGAATATTTCAATACTGTCCTAAGTCAAGAGTGGATATTGTCCAGTAGTTTTAGGGCAACTTTGATACTTTTTATTTTTTAATTTTAAATGTTGACTACTGTTGACATATTAATAAAAATACAATGATCATAATGCAAGCCATGCACATTGTTTGCATTTTAAACGCTTAATTATATTTTATATCATCAATTCAAGTTTAGCTTAAGAATATTTTTTAGGGCCAATGGAACCACACAAATATGCAAACAGGAATAATTTAGTAGTATATATATATGATACCTATATAATACTTAGCCCAACTAAAACACAGTAGAGTTACACATGTCTAACCTGCTGATCCCTGCTGACGGTATGGTCCTCCTTGAGGTTGTCCATAACCTCCGTATGGACCCCCTGGAGCTTGACCCCCTCCGTATGGTGCTCTTGGACCAGGTTGACCATAAGATCCATATGGAGACCCTCCTCCATACTGTTGCCCTGGAGGGGCACTGCCATAAGGTGAACCATACTGTCCAGCAGCAGGACCACCTGCATATGGTGCCCTTGGAGGCTGCTGCCACTGGGGAGCATTACCCCCTGGTCCCGAATAACCCTTTGGAAACAAGTAAAGAAAAGCATACGATATTAACTAGCTGAAATGAAATGCTTGTCATTGGGGTAAAGTGGGTTTTATATTCGCACATTCGTTCATTTTTGACCAATGACAATTTGTGACATGCTACTTTGAATATTGGGTCCTAAATTACAAACAAGAACGTCTTCAAAACAACATAAGCACTATTTAATTGACTGAACATTGTGTACTTTGATAATGATTGGCTGCTAATATGATTTCCCTTATTTTGAATTTCCAAAAAATAATTTTCTGAAATGATATTTGGTACCACATTTGCGAATATAAAACCAACTTTACCTCAAAACTGTTGTCAGTTGTGGTCTATAACAAATACAAATGCAATATCAAAGAATAATTAATAATAAAAATATTTCAAATGTTAATATTATGCTATTGTATTGAGGTTAAATTGGTTTTATATTTACATATTCTGACTTTGGTGTTCAATAAAATACTAAAGCAGAATGTAAAAAGGCTAATACTGATTAATTATAACGGCATACTTTTTTGAGCACAACTTGTGACACTGTCCCTAAACTGTTTACCACGCTACATTGAATATTGGGTTTTAAATTACAAGCAAGAATGTATTCAAAACAACATAAGCACTATTTAATTGACTGAACAGTGTTGTACTTTGATAGAAATTGGCTGCAAGTATGATTTCCCTATTAAGAATTTCCAAAGAATAATTTTCTGAAATTATATTTGGTACCACATTTGCGAATATAAAACAATTTTGCCTCAATGCTGGCAGTTATATAATTGTATTAAAGTTAAGTTAGTTTTATATTCACACATTCAGACTTTGGTGTTCAATAAAATACAAGAGAAGGATTTAAAATGCCTAATACAGGTTAATTGTAATGACATACATTAATGTTTCACACTAACTTCTGACAGAGACATGGTCCCTAAATAGTTTACCATTCTACGTTGAATATTGGGTCTGTAATCACACATAAGAATGGCTTCAAATCAATATAATCACTATTTAACTGACTGAACAATGTTGTACTTTGATAGTTATTGGGTGCTAATGTGATTTCCCTATTTTGAATTAGCAAAGAATACTTTTCTGAAATTATGTTAAGAAAGTGAAAGTGAATGTGCGAATGTAAAACCAACTTTACCTCAATTATAATTGTCAGTACAGCAGTAAACAGAAACAGATATTGATATTCCAATTCCGAGGAATAACACGAGAGCACATATTTACATATTTAATCCATTCACGTCACTGCATTTTTTCCATACAATGAAGGTGACTGTCTAGCATCCTCTCTTGTGTTTTGCGGATGAAAAGTGGCAACATTAATACACGAAGTTATACTGGTACACTCACGTTGTTATACTGTGATTATAGACCCTGGAATACATGTGAAATACGGTTTACTGACGGATGAGGGGAAAGAACACCACGGCTAGATTCAAGAGAGACATTTCTATTGTTAATCTTGGTCATATGACATTAACTAAAAAGATGCGTATGTTCACTAACGTTAAAACTACTGAAAGGCACGCGATTAACTGATTTGTTCAAACAAAAACCAAGGCATTGTACTTGTCATCACATTGTACATCACAGTAGCAACAGGGCTAACTGATTAGCCTAAAAGCCTGTTTCTACAAATATTTACGCGATTGTGCGAGTAATTAAGCATAATTTCACTATACATTAAGTTCAGATTCTAAGACACAAACCAGACACCCACATAAACATAAAACACACATATATTAATGTCAAATAGTTAAACCCGGAAGACAAACTTTACCTGTCCGTATTGATAACTCATTCCGCGAAAAATCTTTAGCAAATGGAGCGACTGGGGTTTATTTAACAAGACCCGCCTCTTAACGCTGATTGGTGCGTTTTCACGTTTGTCAACGGAAAAGCCTCATATTTCAATCTGATTGGTTAAAGCAATGGAAAATTGCTCATAGCTTACACTGTGAGTCACGCTATGTACGTAAAGACACGTTTTGTTGTAGTTACCATGTTTATAAAGGAGGATAGATATAATATGTAAGGTAAGAGTTAACATTTTTTATGGAACTTGAAATGAAAGTTCATCAAATAAGGTTTTTACACAGAGCCCTGTGACTAAAGATTTGTCCTGACTTGACTTGACATTGTCATTAGATGATAAGATCTAACCTTATTTTGACGATCCGTTTGTTGAATTTAAGTTACATTGCATCTACATGCAAACTAATTCTTATTAGATTATAAGTAGACTGTTACTATTAGTAGGGGTTAGGTTTGGGGTTAGTGTAAGTTGACATGTACTTGCAAAGTTTCTTATAGTCAGTTAAACGTCTGTTGAAGGAGATATTAAGCAGACAGCACTAATACTCAAATGGACCATCAAAATAAAGTGTTACCAAATTAAATTCTATAATAATCATCATCATCGCATTAAGTAGTTTATTAAATAGCATTAATAATATTCAAATCTAATGAGTCGTGTTCAAAATATACCCTGCCACATTTGGTATATTTCACAGCATGATTCCTGTAAACAATATGAATACACAGTGCACTAACTTACACAGACTATTACATTATATAGTACAAACACAGCTATTTTAGAAAATAAGGAAGGCATTAATGTGTCCACAGTTAATACAGTACCTTTTTCAAGGGTTTAAGTGCTGTATGCTATCAGTGTTTTGTGAACAATCCTACACTTGGATAAGTACACTAGGTGGCAGTGTACATCTTAAATGAGTAAATGAGACACAAGATGACCTTCCAATTTCATCACAATTATAACATACTGTATACAAAAAAGACATATATTAGTTACTTTAAAGTGCAAATATCCCATTTAGTGTATGCATTAATCATATTATCTACATTATTATTCAAGTTCATTGTGTCTACTATTATAATTCATTACAAAGTCAGCGTTCATATAATTTGTTCAACTCGGAATGGATCATCTCAGAATTTTTTAGTTCTTCTGCAGCCTGTGCCATTTTAAGATTGTTGAGATTCTGGTTGGACATGGCCGTCGGATCCACCCTTCTGCTTATGTAGTTTCTATTCTCCTCACTCTTTTTGTGCAGAAATTTGCCAGCTTTCTTTGTAATCAGATACACCATCTCACAGATACACATGAAGATGCACACAGAGGAGGAGACCACCATAAAAAGAGTGAAGATTTTCTTCTCTGTGGGACGGGAGATATAGCAGTCCACTGTATTTGGACAAGGTTCCGCAGTGCATTTGGTAACATTTGGCATGTCGAATTTATAAAGGTAGTACAAAATATACAAGAATGCTGCATCAAAGCCGGCTTTGAATAACAGGCTGAGGATATAGGTGTACCACAGGCCTCCACGCTTTCTTCCTGGGTTTGCATACATGTTTTCACCATTGCGGGCAGTGTTGTACTTCACATTCTTCATTTGTCGATATTTGACGTGAGCGACCACCATGAGAGATGGACAAGTGACGAAAATAAGCTGGAGAGCCCATAGACGGATGTGGGATATGGGGAAGAACTGGTCGTAGCAGACATTGGTGCAGCCTGGCTGGGCCGTGTTGCAGATGAAGTCTTTCTGTTCGTCGTTCCAGACTTGCTGGACAGACACCACAAACACCAGGATTCGGAAGATGAACACCACGGAGAGATAGACACGGCCAAACACAGTGGAGTATTGGCTAACCCCGCCAAGCAGGACTTCTAGGGACAACCAGTTCATGTCTGATGCTGCAAACAAGCGTCTTACTCATTCCAGGATATTAGCCCTACAAAATAAATACATAAACAAGCAAATTTGTTTTTATTTACATTAAAATAGTACTTGCTTTTTTTCTCTTTTAGTACATTTAGAGTTCCTTTGCCTTCTTCATCTAATAGGTCAACTTAAGGCTTCAATATACTTCAAGCTCAAATTGTAAACAAAGTCAGGCTAACATGAAGATAGTGCTGGGATTTTAAAACTGCTGTAGTTTTAGTTAAATGTTGATCTAAACATTAAACATCTTAGCAGCATGAATGACATCAAGATCACAACAATATTTATTAAAACAGTTTGATACTTTCAAAATTATTTTTATCCCTAAATGAAAAGGAAATATGAGTATATTTGGTCATACAGGTATATTTATTCATAATAACATGCTGAATCTATTTTATGAATAAAATATACTGTAGATGATTTTTGAAAACAATAATAATTTAATAATACTGTTGAATTAATATCCATATTTTTTTCATTATGAGCATTGCAATGTTCCTTTTTTTTAAGACCCGTGTTATTTAAAATGATTTAAACCTTTACAATTTTAGTAATACTTTTATTTATAAATATTTATTTAATGTATATTGGACAAGATTTTTAACCTAGCTGTACTGTACATAATACTTTTTAATATTTTTATTTATTTATTTACTTAATTCACACACAGACACACACATGTAATCAGGTTTTATTCATACTTTTAAAAAGTACACCTTTTGTATTTATTTATGCATTAAATATTTATATATTTATTTATTTTGTCATTTTTAATACTATTATGACCCATACTGTCCCGAAATCAACTTTCTGAAATCTAAATACTTTCAGTTTCACATTGAGTATTCTATTGTTCTCAACAGAATGGCCTTTGAGCAACACTGTTGTTCTGCTTTTCAATGATTAATTCAACTCTCAACTCAACTCAATTTATTTTTAGAGCAATTTCAACCAACCACAATGGGTACCAAAGTGCTGTACATAAAAACACACAATACATGCAAACATGCAAGAAGCCAAAATACACTTATTACTCACAACACATGATTAAAAGCTAAAGAAAACAAGTGTTTTCCGTAACCTCTGAATTCAATCAGTTTTTTTCCTTTCTTTAATTTTTAAAGACAATTTGTTCCCCAAAAAATTAAAGAAGAAAAAAATTGAGGAAAGATATTGATGGTGTCACCTTTCAAGCATGTAATGTCAACAGGTTGCAACATGCAGTTAAATTATTTCTAAAGGCAGCAATGATCCATTTTTGGCGGCTTTCGTTTGATTCTTTCCCCCTTTTGTTCACAAAGCAATCAACACATTTGAACGAAAACAAGTCAACATATGTAGTTAAGGATAGTATTGTTAATTTTTATTGTTTACCAATTTAGATCTGCATATCTTTTACCATAGTATTAAATGTGTTCTTGTTAGTTTTCAGTAGAAATAGCATTTGCATTGACAACTAACTAGGTCACATAATTAGTATGCTGTAACCTGTCATTAGTTTGACACAAACCGTAATTAAAAGTACAAGAAGCTAACTATTAGTGTTATTTAGATTTTAGATTTGTGAATCCAAAGCATAACAATGGGCTCTAATTTAGCTTTATGAGAAACTGTACAAAATGCCCCAATCAAATTAGCATATCCAATTATGTTTGTTAACGGTCAAAATAATACTGTACATACTGAAACAATACAGTATCTACAGTGCTAGCTGATTTGTATATAAACTATTTTTATAAACTTTATTTTGAAGAAATCCAAGCGATATGTCCTTACCTTTTGGGATTTCGGCTGTTGTGAGGAAGAGCAATAGCTTTTCCTTTGGCTGACAATCAAGAAAGACCTGATTGGTGGAAAGTGTCTGATTCTATCTATGACAATCACCTGAGTTTAGATGAAATGAAATCTAATGAATCAAAACAAAAATAAAACTGTCTAACTTCTGCTTCCACTCAGCTGTGGGGTATTTACTATGGTAATCAGTTTTTTTATAACGCCCATTGCCAGGGGCATTACATAAAGGTTGTTTAAAGCTAAGCAAACCTTCATGGGATGGCAATTCTTTGTTTATATACTGTAGGTGCTGTAGGTGTGTGTGTGTTTATATGGGTGTGTGTGTGTGTGTTTTGCTGACTACTGTACTGCACTGTATGAGGAGTGCTAGCATTAAAAAAACATTGTTTTATATACAAAGACATAATCTTATATTGCGGTGAGAACTAAATTCTTGTAAAGCTACAGTATATATTCTTATCAATCTTTTATAACTGAAAATTTGACATCCCATTTTTAACGAATCATGAAGACAGTTTTTTATTCTTTTTTATGTTGTCACATAAAATACTGTAGTTTAAAGATAATAAGCAGGATAATATTAAAAGTTTTAAAAGTTTTAAAAGTTCAAAATGTTCAAAGCAATTGCAGTCAAACTGAAAGTGTCTGTACAATATTTATAAACCAGGCTAAAAACAACATTCCATGAATGGGTGGAATATTTTATGTATGTGCCATTTAAAAAAAAAAACAAAACAAAAAAAACGATACAACATCCTGGTTAAGACTGTAACCCACGTTCCCCGAGGGAGGGAATGGAGACGTTGTGTCCTTAAAAGAACTGATCGAGAATCGCCAATAACCAATCTCTCTGAAGAGTAAAGCCGCGGAAACACTGCACTTTTCGCCCCATAGACTTCCATCCATATGCAAGCAAATGCAACAAACTGGAAACAAAAGCTCATACATTTCACGGTTTGCTGCATTGCAAAGTTCAAGCTCGGTGAACTTTAACCTGCAAAATTGCATCACGTGACTGCATGAGACCAATCGAAGATTAAAACAGGACCTCTCTGTACAGAAAATTTTAATTTTCAGTTCATCTTTATTTGTTTAGCGCTTTTACAAATTTAGATTGTGTCAAAGCAGCTTTACATTAAAGATTATACTGAATTGAAACTGTGTCAGTTCAGTTTTCAGAGTTTAAATTCAATTCAGTTTAGTTCAGTTCAGGTGAGTGTGGTTTAATATTTACTGAGAGTCCAACCGCTGAAGAGTAATCTATTGATGCGCAGCTCTACAAGTCCTGAACCATACAAACCAGAGACAAGAGCAGTGAGAAAAAAAAACTTCACCAATTGGCGAAAGTGAAGGATATGGACCAATCGCTCATTTTTTAGGGCCCTATCATACACCCAGCGCAATGCGGCGCAACGCAATTGTTGTTTGCTAGTTTTAGCTCGGCGCAATAGTCATTTTAGACGTTTTGCAACACGCTGTTTTAATAGCAAATGCATTTGCGCTCATATGTGCGCCCATAGGCGTTCTGGTTTAAAAAAGGAGGCGTGTTGCTATTTCGGAAGTCCAGCGCAGAGCGCGTTAGTTGTGCGCCTCGCTTAAATATTGCTTAATACACACTGAATGTACAGCAATACGCAAATATCTTTAAAAATTAAAAATAATTAAAGGAATAAAGTATTACAAAAATTATTATTTTCTAGCCTACTTAAATATTAAATCCACCACCTCCATGCCTTCTTCACCTCGCGGGGCTTTTTTAGTTTATTCATGACAATTTGCTTTTGTATAATGTTATTTTTAGTAGTAGTATCATTTATTATATGCATATTTATATTTGTTTTATTAAAAACAAGCTTAGATTTGCCCACCTGTCAGCATGTGTATTTGGAAAACACTTCGTTATTATTGTTTATTTATTCGCTTGCTGGAAATTAGAACTGAATTTAGAAATAGTTTTGAAAAAAAATCTTTGCGCTTATTAAACAAAATGAATTATGTATTGGCTAATGGATGTCTCTGTGTATAACACATTTCCCTATCCACGAGAACGAAAGTGAAAGCAAAGAATGAGGAGGCTCATCTCTCATTCTAGCACTGTAGGTGTTCTGTTTAACTGTTTTCTTTCTAGTGAAGCATTTAGTTTTTCTACTTATAAAGTCCGCCATGTAAATAGCAAATGCGCTATGGCGCGACACAACTGACTCTGAAAGGGAATGGAAGATGAGACTCTGATTGGTTTATTCCCAAAATACACCTATAACTCATTAAGACAATAAGCTCAACCCTGTTAGACCATGCACCACAGCGCAAAGCAGATTTATTTATCCTTAAAAGAGCAAAAGTGGATTCGAACATGCCCTTAATGCTTTTGTGGTCTGCGCTTTGGACTTTGCACCTGGATTGTCAAAATAGACCCCGTAATATCTAATCTTCCGCCCTTTTTCCGCAGCACTATATGGCAGAACTAGTGTGAACGAGACATAAAAAAACAGGCCAATGAATGCCTATAGTTTGAAAACACAGCTCCCACAGGTGCAACTGATCAAAATCAGGCAAGTACTGTATATATACTGTATACTGTAGCCAGCACCTAAAAGAGAACAAGCCAGACTTTTATCACTGAAACATCTCTGTTTTCTTCTTCAGGGAACATGGGTTACAGTCATAACATTCCCCTCTAAAACGGGAATGTCTTTGTTGTGTTTTTAACACATTGGGAATGTGTAAGCAAAGCACCATAGCAGCTGGACCAGTCAAGTGTTTGGTGAGAAGTTTGCAAAGCATGGCGTGCACACAAGCATCACCAAAACATACTGGGCCAAACAGCCGGCACCTCCAACTTTTCAAGTGCGAGCCACGATCTCAGCTGCGCAAGACATGCCCTTCAGTGAGGGCGTAAGGTGGACCCCCAGCAGGTAATGCAGATGGGAACCACTGCATCCAGAAACGCAGAGAAGTCAGAACAACATCTTGAAAAAGATGGCTGTGTCCGAAATCACCTACTCACTTGGTACTACATTTGAATTTGATTGATGTGTGAATTGATGTGAAACAAATCGGATGTGCAATACAGAAGTAATAGGTCATCCGGGTACTTCTTGCATACTGTTTTTCGAATTTGGACATACTACTTGGCTCACATACTGTTTTAGTATACTGTATATAGTATGGAATTATGCAACACCTGAGCCCAGTGAAATGGCCAGGGACAAGCGAATCAACCAGCTCGATTAATGTATACTTAAATCTTGATCTGGATTCAGCTCAGCAGGTGCTGGCTATATACTCACCTGGTTATGATCAGTTGCACCTGTGGAAGCTGTGCTTTGCCAACTCGATTGCTCCATATTTTACATTTCTGTACAGAGAGGTCATGTTTTGATGTTCTATTGGTCTCATGCAATCACACGATGTGATTTCGCAGGTCAGAGTTCACCAAGCTAGAACTTTCAAATGCCGGGAAATGTGAAACTTGTCGTGCGAGCTTGCGTTTACGGTGTGGTGCAGTTGCACGTGTATAAATGGAAGTCTAAAGCCTGGTTTATACTTCTGCGTCAAGTGACCGGCGTAACCAACGGCGCATACAACGCGCGTAGCTGTGCATTTATACTTCTGCGCGCTGTCTCTGTTGGTCTGCATTAACACCTCCAAAACGCTAGTTGGCAGTTAAGTGTTGATGTGTCTCTGTGTCGAGTTTCTTCGCCTGTGTTTTGTTCTTTCTGAACGCTTCCGGGATGTACAAGTGGCTCAAACTCGCTCATTTTGAGGCAGGAACTGGTGGACATGCAACAACTTTAACTATAAGGTAAACACAAAACAAAACTTTCCATCCGGAGCTACTTCGTGGGACTCCACACTTGTAAACAATCGCTCCACTGGGCTTACTCGGCTCTCTGTCCCACCCAGACTCATCAGCGCAACCAAGCCGACCAATCACAGAGCTTGTGCTATGCGTCGTTGCGACGTGTAGTTACATATTTAGAGAGGTGCACGTCAGCAACGCTGACGGCCACAGCGTAGGGCTATGCGTCAGCGCTGTAGGATACGCGTGCACTTGACGCAGAAGTATAAATCAGCCTTAAGGTGTGAAAAGTGCAGTGTGACCGCAGCTTTAGAGTGATTGGTCATTTGGCAATTCCTGATGTGTCAAGGACACAATGTAGAAGTTCCCGTTCCGAAGGGGAACATGTCAATAAAAGCAAACAGAGAAGTAGGGTATTATATGAATACAATAGGAAGGGTTTTGTTCTATTGTATGTTGACGTGTAAAGAGTAAGTTGTTTCTGGGCAAAGATAGCCAGATAATATATCCAATTATTAACATGAAGATACCTCATGACCTTTTTTATGGATTTTATAAAAAAATATATATATTTATTTCATTATTACAATTATTGTTTTTATTATTTTAATGAAAATATATTTGTATATTTAAATCCATAAGGAAAAAAAAAAACATTGGATAATTTATTTGAATGCATTATTTTATTTTATTTTAACTTGTCTATCTATGTATGTATCATCAGTGCAAACGCTGTTTTGCTCTTAAAAAGCTTAGAACTTACAAAAAGTTTTGATAAAATATTTATGTTAAATGCTTGTTGCATTTAATTTGGAGTTCCTTTTTCAGATGCAAAATCTATTGGAGAAGAGAATCATGCAGTTTGATTTAAAGTAAAAGTATTTTGTGTTTTGCATTAGTCAGTTTCCTGTTTGTGTGCCATTACTGGCTATGGAAATAAGGTCATCTATCTGCATTCCACACAGCAGATGTATGGATATATTGTTTCACACTAATTTACCCTGTTTAGCAGGTCTGACCATCTATCTCAATGTTTGTAAAAAAAAATTGTAGAAAAGAATAAATGCATTCAAAAGGTCTCAAACATAGTGCAAGATTAGGAACATCCGAACAAAATGCTCATATACAGTTGAAGTCAGAATTATCAGCCCGCTGAATTATTAGACCCCTGTTTATTTTTTTTTCTTCAATTTCTGTTCAACGGAGAGAAGATTTTTTCAACAAAATCTAATATTTTTAAATATAATAGTTTTAATAACTCATTTCTAATAACTGATTTATTTTATCTTTGCCATGATGACAGTAAATAATATTTGACTAGATATTTTTCAAGACACTTCTATACAGCTTAAAGTGACATTTAAAGGCTTAACTAGGTTAATTAGGTTAACTAGGCAGTGTAATTAGGCAGATTATTCTATAACGATGGTTTGTTCTGTAGACTATCGAAAAAAAAATTAGCTTAAAGGGGCTAATAATTTTGTCCTTAAAATGGTGTTTAAAAATAATAACTGCTTTTATTCTAGCCGAATTAAAACAAATAAGACTTTCTCCAGAAGAAAAAATATTAACAGACACGCTTTAAAAATTTCCTTGCCCTAGTAAACATAATTTGGGAAATATAATAAAAAAATAAAAATAAAAAATAAAAGGGGGGCTAATAATTCTAACTTCAATTATATAATGCTAAAGCATTATTTAAAAAAAAATCATTTATTTAGTGGTTTCTAAATAAAAATAACGGTGTACAGATATTTTCTTATATAAAGTTTTGCTCCAATAAATG